TTCCCGGGGCCAGCGGCCGGCGGGCGGGCCAGCGGCTCTGCCTGCAGCCCAGTTTCCCCAGCCAGCCTTATCTCCTGTCCTGCCTGGGCACAGGTCCCGGCGCAGCCCGTGAAGGGGCATTGAGCTGCCGGGGGCGGGGGGGGCAGGGCGCTCCCGGTGTCCAGCTCTGGGGCCTCCAGCAAGCTCTGCAACAACCGAGCTTTGTCCAGGTCTCCTCTGACCTGGTTCTCCCAGCCTGACTACCGGCAGCCTCGGGCCGGGAAGGGGCCGTGCGGGGGGAGGCCGGCCGGCTCCGGGTCACGGGCGGCCCGTCCTCTCGCGGGGACGCGCGTCACCGGTGCCCTGGCCTCGTGTGGGAGGACCCGGAGGGCCGCGCTGGCCTGGTGGGGGTGGTCCACCTCCCAAGGGCCCGTGGACTTCCTGGGTGACCCCCAGGGTGTGGCCTCCCTGGCCCTGTCCCGGAGCTTCAGAGGCCGGGACCGGCGGCCACCCTCCGCCCCCAGCATGGTTGGGGGACCCCTGGGCTCCTTCTGGCCCCTCGCGGGCCTTGCTCCTCCCAGGTGACTCAAAGGGCCCATGGCGACGCCTGGCCGTGGCCGGACTCCCCGGCCCCTGGGCAGAATCCAGGCACAGGGCGCCTGCCATGCTGCTGAGAGCCGCCTCACGCCCGGGCGGGCCGGGCGCCTGGGGCTGGCATTGCCCGTCCACCCAGCCGCGACTGGGCTCCGTTTCCACCGGGAGGGGCGCTGGTGGGAATGCGGCGCCCGGCAGTGGGTGGAGCCCGCGCCTGGCCAGCCCGAGGGGCGCAGGACGGGGCTGGCCGCGCACCCGGCGTGGGCTCCGCGCCACAGGGTCGCCGCCGTGCGTGCTGGGGTGTCTCAGGGGGCCCGTGGACGCTGCGGGAGCAACCGCGCCCCGCCGGGGGGCCAAGGCGTGGCAGGCCGGGCTGTGGGTGAGTCAGCCGCCGGCGTCCAGCCCCGCACAGGCGTCCCGCCCCAAGGAAAGCCTCTGGCCACGCAAGGAGAGGCGCCTCCTTCTTTCCTTTTTTAAAGATTTATTTGCTTACGCACACAAGAACTGGGGTGCAGGCCAGAGGTGTGGGAAGCGGGTGAGAGGACTCCCCAGAGACAGAGCGGGGAGCAGACAGGCAGATGGACGAAGCTGCTGAGGGGCAGCGGGGACTGAGGCCGGCGCCCTGGTCACTCCCTGGCCGGGGTGGACTCGTGCTGTGGTGGCTGCGGGGCTTCACAGCACGAGCCTGGCCGGGGCGCTCCCGGGGTGGCCGCTGCTTCTCCTTTTGGGGGTTCGTTTTGCTCCTTGTCTCCAGAAACACCAACGGGGCATTGGGAGGGGCCAGCAGGGGCCGCGCCAGGGCCTCAGGCCCCCGCTTGTCCCCGCTGCTCTGGCCCTCGAGGGTGCCCCTTTGCTTCCTGGGGCCTGCCTGAAGCCCGCCTGGGAGCCCGGCCAGCCGCCCCGCGTGGCCGGCCACCTGTCCTGCTGACCGGTCACTCTGCTGCCTGCCTGCTCCTGCCGCGATTTCTTCTGGACACTCCTCTGGCCGCACTCAGGCGTCACTGGCGCCCCAGCTGCGGGGTGTCGCTTCCGCCCAGGCCTCTCTGGGCATCGTGCCCGGCCCCGCCTCCCCAGGGGAGCCCTGTGCAAGCCAGCCCCCCGTGGTGACCCGGCGCCCGTTCAGCTGAGAGGCTCAGAGGCCGGCACATTGTGCCGCCCGTGTTCGGGGCGTCGACGGCATCGGGGACCCCCGTGCTCGCCCGTCTCCTGTGGGTGACTTGCGGCCGGTGTGCCAGGGCCTCAGGAGCCGAGAAGCTCCGTTGGGACTCGGGGCAGAGGCCATCAGTGTGGACACTCAAGGGCGGGGAGGCGGCCGGGGGCAGGTCCGAGCCTGCCTGCTTGCTGCGGCCGAGAAGAGCGGCCACACGCCGTGGTCTGAGGCCACAGCCCGGCCTCCAGACACCCCGCACAGCGCCACGCGTCTCCGCCAGCCGCGCGAGCTGCGCTGCTGGTCGTGCTCGTCCCTGCTGCTGTCCAGGCGGATGGCTTCTCCGCGCCGAGGCCTGGCGGGTTTCTCTGCGGAGAACAGGACGTGCATCGCCCGTGGTCCGGCCTCCGGGGACGCACGGGCGCGAGACCGCAGGGCGTCCCGCCCAGAGGCCAGTCCCGGGCGTGGCCCTTCCGGCCGGGCGCGGTGTGCAGCCGCGGGGACCCTGCCCCCACGCTGCCGCTGGCCACCGGGACACTTGTCCATGATTGAGACGTTCCTGCCGGGGCGTGGGGTCTGCGGGGTCTGAGGGGTCTGGGGGGCCATGGGGTCTCTGGGGTCTGGGATCTGGGGGGTCTGGGGTCTGTGGGGCCTGTGGGGACTGTAGGGTCTGGGGAGGACTGTGGGGTCTGTTGTCTGCGGGGTCTGTGGGGTCTGTGGGGTCTGGTGTCTTCAGGGCCTGTGGGGTCTGCAGGACTTGTGGGGTCTGCAGAGTCTGGTGTCTGCGGGGTCTGTGGGGTCTTCGGGCTCTGGGGGGCCTGCAGTCTTTCCTTTCCCGTCCTGCACCGCGGCATGGTGGGCTCCATGGGCCGGAGGTGGGGGAGCAGGGCTCTCCTGGCCACGGGGTCTCCTGGCCACCCGACTCCCCTGGGAAGTGACTGGGAGCTGTGTAACCAGAACCAAATCAGTCCACACTCAACAGCTCCCCAATTCAGCTTCTTTTTAGCAGGAGCCCCCAGAGGCCAGCAGTCTCCCCAGGGACACCTTATCTGGAGAAAAGGGGGTGGCAGGATCTCAGAGGGGTATCTGAACAGGCTGGAGTTTCATTTATATTTATTTATATTTTGCACATTTGCAAAAGTGTCCGGTCCCATGACCGTGTTGCTGAGGCCCTTCTTGTCTGGGTCGTGAGAGGGGCGCAGGCAGGGAGGGCCTCCGGCGGGCAGCCTCTGCTTGGGGCCAGGAGTGAGCCGGTCACCAGACACCAGGCCACCTGCCTGAGCCAGACAATAGGGTCCTGTCTGGTGGGAACTGCAGCCAGGCTGAGACCAAACTGGCCGCTGAAAACCTTCCGAGATAGAAAGAGGTGACCTCCCTGTTCTCCGTTGCTCCCACCGTCCATCGCCCCCCAACACCGAGCCTCCCTGTGGCAGCCCCCAGCCCCGGGGGCCAAGCTTGCCAAGCTCCCACCGTTTATGCAGGTTTAACCCACGCCTGGTATTTACAAAGCAATGTGTTTAGGTGGGCGGGACCCCAAGACCAGAAGCTTTGCGGGCAGGGCTCCTCGGACCTGGGCAGGATGGCCTTGCCCTCTGTGCTGGCAGAGAGGGGTCCTGCACCTGCCTGGAGTGCCCAAGAACACTGCCTGGCCACTTCTGTGCCAGAGAGGCTGGAGGCCCAGAGAGGCTGAGGCCAGGGAGGCTGAGGCCAGAGAGGCTGAGG